TACAAAGGATGCGAGCGAGCGAGTGACAATAGCTACTCGAGTCAACGATTGAAGAGTACAGTGAAGGTTGCAGCAGGAAGTTGCGAGTGAGGTTACAGAAAGAGGTTGAGCAAGTGGAGCAAGTGGTTGCGAGTGGTTATTTCTTTTACATTATATTATGAGCAAGTGGATTCCATCAAAACCCACAACTCCCATCTTGGGTTCCTATGTTACATTTCGTTAAAAGCATTTCTCGATTCAACTTTTAACCAAAATTTTACTCCAAGGGGCCTTCCAACCATTCTACCTCTTCGCCTGCTTTCTGGAGAGGAGGATATTACAGCTGAATTTGCTGCAGTAATGGAAACGAGAGAACAACAAGAGCAAGAAGACAACTCAAACGGATTTCTGATACGCTACTGCGGTTGTTAATCAAGCGGATTTCCTTACCATCTCGAAGTTTCAGACCTCGAGCACCTTTGATGGGAAGGATTTCTTTACCAACTCTCGCTTATGGCCTGCATACTGCTGGTGCGCAACCTCTCAACTTTGGAGCAGAACGGCACACGCCAATTCAAAAGCACACTTGCTCCCGCGTACTACGACTAGGATAGCCTATGCAAGGTGCACCAAGCTCAAGAGAGTGTGACACAAAACAAGTTACTTCAACAGTTAACCACTATCCGTGGATTTGAGCAAACATACGATAAGGTTTTGCCAAGAAAAGTACTATGAAAGTTGCAGCGAGAAGTTGCGAGTAAGGTTACAGAAGAAGGTTTTGCCTAGAGGTTTCTTCAAGAGGTTACTTTGAAACAAGAACTACTCCTGCTATATATACCCAATGTGTTCATTGGTGTATTATTCTTATCTAATACACTGTTCTTACAGTACAAGAATGACTATGTCTTCCGCTGACTTATTTGTCAGGGATTCCACGAAACCCTGGTCCTTGGGTAAATCTCTAAAACGGGAATACATTTTTTACACCTTTGTAAGAAGTAGCCATCTATCATTTTGGCTTAGCGCGAAGTGATGAGTGTGTTGGATGCTCCATACGCATCTTGACCAGCGCAATGGTAATGCAAATAAACAAGGAAGATGAGTGTGCGGTCAAATTATTCCCACATGTTTTTTAAACGGTAATCTTAGCTACATACAAATCTTACGATTTTGCAATTGATTTAATTTGTTGAAACATGAACCTAGGCTTTGGAAGGCATTCTTGCAACGATTGTAAGGAATTTTATTCCTTACTGGGTTGTACTGCAATCGCGTACACCCGGACTCTCGGAAGACTAGGCTCGGTCCGATACTGACGCAACCCCGAGGCTGGCTCACACCGCCTCCGGCCCTTTTGACCGCACCTTTACCCAACCTAGCCCTCCGGGCTCGTCGTCTAGCTAGAGCTCTCGCTATATAATGCTAGGCTCCCATTCTTGTGCTTGTCATTATTACTCTGCGCACTCTCAGTTATTTTCATAACATCTGGTATTAGAGTTACTTTCCTAGTTCACCTTGCTTTCTCATCATGACTCAGGCCCAGCTAGACAAGGTCATGGCTCAGATGCAGGCAATGCAAACCCAGATGGCAAGTTTGAATGGTGAAGTCGTGAGACTTTGGACGGAGAAAATCGAGCTTCGCCAGACGCGTGGTGAAGCGTGTTAGGAGTCGCCTGGAGTCGCTGAGAATGATGTGAAGCCAGAAGCCAACAACGAGGCGAGCGAAACTGTCCTTGACGAGCTCGCACGGGAGTTGGAGCAGGACGACGTGCGCACTGTAACTGTGATGAAGATTAAGCTCAAGCCGGGACGGGACTTTGGATTCTTCAAACCAATAGGCAGAAACGATATTCGGTACGACCACGATTCACACGTGGAAACAGTATGAAAAAAAATAAAGGTATTTCTGGATGGCGGGGCTAGTCACAGTCTGATCCACGTGACAACAGCGCAGCAGTTGAAGCTGACATTGGAGAAGTGTTTACCCGAAATTGATGCGCGCATGGTGAACGGGACGCCACTTGCGATTCAGGAAAGAGCGCAAATGGTGCGGATGAAGTGTGGCGACGATTTCGGATCCAGCATGCCCATGCTAGTGACGATGCTGGATGGCTGCGACATCCTTCTCGAACGTGATTGGCTGCAAAAATACAGCCCAAGGATTGACTTGACAACTGGCGAATGCAGCGTGAACTGTGCAAACGAATGGCGTGTACTTCCGTGCTGGCGCGGGCGGGATCCGGTGTCGACACGTGTCAACGCCATCACCCTCCAATGAGCTGATTTGTACACCGTCCATTTGGCCGAAGCAACGGCCGACGACACGCCAAAAGACATTGACACACTTTGTGCCAGTATCCATGCCGAGCTCGCTGCGCTGATTCGACAGTACCCTGATATTTTCCCGGATGATCTGCCAGCCGGATTGCCACCTGAGCGCCCCAGGACCATAAAATTGACCTGGAACCTGGCGCGCAGCCAACCGTCTGGACACAGTGGCGGCTGACTCAGCCTGAACGCACGGAGTTGCGGAGCTAGCTGGATTACCTACTGAATGCCTTTTGGCCTCACGAATGCGCTCTCTACATTCCAACTGACCATGAACGGCGTGTTCCGGGATCTACTCAACAAGTGCAGCATCATATATTTGGATGACATCCTGATCTTCAGCAAGACACAGGAACATCACCTCAAGGACCTCAGCTGGGTTTTTCAACGGCTGCAGCAGAATCGACTCATCACCAAGGGCTCTCTAAGTGCGAGTTCCTAAAATCAGAACTGGAATTTTTAGGACACATCGTCGGAGTGGACGGCATCAAAATGGACCCGAATAAGATCACCGCCATCCGGGACTACAAGAAGCCGCCCACAGATTTACAGGAGCTGCAGAGTTTTCTCGGGTTCATTAATTATGTCCGACGATTTATCCGAAATATGACGGGGACAACCGGACCTTTAATTGACCTGCTGCAAAAGGGAACTTCATTCGAGTAGGAGGAGAGACAGCATGTTGCTTCTGATGAACTCAGATTTTTTCTGATGTCACTCCCGGTCCTTTGAATCGCTGACCTTTCTCGACCGTTCGAAGTCTTGACGGACGCTAGCGATTTTGCCATCGGCGCGGTATTGTTACAGGATTTTAGCGACGGACTCCAACCAATCGCGTACGAGTCCAAGAAGTTGCACGCAGCCGAGCACAACTACCCCATCCACGACAAAGAAATGCTCTCCATCGTACACGCGTTCAAAGTGTGGCGCTGTTACCTAACGGGAGCCGACGCGACAGTATGGATTGACACAAATCCCTACAGTACCTCCGCGCGCAGCCGAACCTCAACCAACGATTCGCTGGCTGGATTTCCTCGAGAGCAACTTCCACTATACCATCACGTACAAACGTGGGGTGAATAACATTGCTGACACACTGATACTGATACGACCGTTGATAGCGGCCAACTGGACTGCTGCAACCGCTCGAGCCACCCCAGAAGCCGTGGCAACACGTGACGATGGACTTTGTCACGGAACTTCCGATCGGCGCAAGTGGCAACGACGCCGTCCTCGTCATCGTCGATTGCTTGACGAAAATGGCACATTTTGCACCCTGTCGTATGACAATCACAGCCGAAGAAACAACAAAACCCTTCATCTCCACCATCGTTCGTCTGCACGGCCTACCAACAGCGAGAATCAGCGATCGTGACCCCAAGTTTATGTCCAAGTTCTAGCAAAATACATGGGAACAGTACGGCACCAGCCTGCAATTCTCGTCCGCCTACCACCCACAAACCGACGGGCACACTGAGTGAACCAATCAGACCATAGAGGAACTGCTACGCACCAACTGCCCCGACCTCGCCCGATGGGAAGAATTCCTGCCCATGCTGGAATTTTCTTATAACAACGCCCTATCCCCGGCGACTAATCACTCACCATTTGTTTTCAACTACGGGATGGATCCCACCGTTCCCACGACGACAATCCAGTGCACCGGTCCTAGCAATTTGCTAACGACTTAAAGACCGCCCGGGAAAAAAGGGATTGAATTTATTCGAAAGTCCAACACTGCGGCTCGATGCTATACCGACCTTCATCGCCGAAATATTGCGATGGCTGCTAGGCAACTAGTCCTTCTCGACACGGAGAACCTCCGCCTGCCCCTGCCATCAAAACTCCGCCCAAGATTCTGTGGGCATTTCCGCATCCTCAAGATGGTGACACCTGTCACGGCAAAATTATTACTACCGGACGAGTGGCACATTCACGATGCATTCCACGTCAGCCTCCTTTGTCCCTACGTCGCCAACACGTCAGCAGTTGCACTACTGACAGCCGTCCCCAGTGTCCGCCCAATAGTCGAACCGACCCTTGAGCCGTTCCGGCTTTTGAGTCACCGCGTCCGCCTTGACACCACAGGCCGCCACGTGGATTTTCTTGTCCGCTGGGCCGACCGTACAAGCGAAGACGACACGTGGGTCACTTCCGACTCGCTTCAGAAACACTCGGTGATCAAATCTTATTTGACATGAAAAGATGTTCCCGATATTGACCACCTTCCTTAGGAGGGGGGGTTAGTGAAAGGAATTTTATTCCTTACCGTGTTGTATTGCAATCGCGTACACCCGAACTCTCGGAAGACCAGGCTCGGTCTGATTCCGACGCAACCCCGAGGTTGGCTCGCGCTGCCTCCGGCCCTTTCGACCGCACCTGTACCCAACCTAGCCTTCCGGGCTCGTCGCCTAGCTAGAGGTCTCGCTATATAATGCTAGGCTCCCATTCTTGTACTCGTCATTATTATTCCGCGCACTCAGTTATAAATCATAACAAAGATACTGAGTTTGTGTTACTGTGTGGTGGAATCCCAAGTGTTGGGGTATCGTACAAGCACGCGCTTGTTGGGGGGGAGCGGGGGGAGGGAGGGGGGGGAAAATGATGCGCTGCACTCAGTGTTTTGCGTGCGCTCCATATGCTGATGATGTGCAGTGGGAATACGAAGACAGGTCATAATGGGCACAAATGGGCCCACGCTGAGTCATGGCAGCCAATCCTCGTTGACTGGTGACTCAGCGAGCCCCTACAATTTCACGGCGCGATTGAGGAATATTAACGGACACGTTTCATAGTGCTTGCCAGCTCGCAGATGATCACCAGATCTACGCCAGACCCGCTTATGACGTATGGCTCTTTTCAAGAACTGATCGCGTCGCTACGCATCTTTGCTCGACCAGCGGCCGGGTCGAATTTATCAACTCTTCGCATATCCATTGAGCATTGTCGCCACTGTCGTACAGCCGTGGGGTCACTGTTGGCGACAGCAGCGATGATGGGCGAACTCGCAGCGACATTTGCGAAGCTTGCTGCGTTTCGCTTCCCGAGTCGCCATACAGATGCAATTCTCTCGTACCGATTGGACCACTTCCGTTGCAGTTCCCTCCTCGCCCGACTCAGTCGCGTGCGAGCAAAGATTCCTCCGATATGTTTGCCTGTCAAGAACTCCGTCATACTCCCGTACGCTTACTTTAAAACCGCCGCCATGTGCAGCCATGGAGTCATTAGGTTCAATCCGCTGCTCTGCTCAGTATCAAACAGCCATCCCCGGCAGCCATCCACCTCGATCCGCCTCTCGATCCATCTTTCGCTCACCCTCGTTTTCCATCTCTCATGGCGTGGGGCAATCGCTTGCTGTCACTGGCCGCGCTGGCGGTGGGGCTGCTGGCCGTCGCAGCGTGTGGAGCGAGGGACATGATCAAGGGAGCGACTGACGTCGCCGCAAAGGAGCCTCCTGAGGGAGGCAAGGGCGTGGCCGGCCAGCAGAGGAAGGGCGCTCGCATTCTGGCCGCTGAGACTTTCTCTCAGCGCAGCCCGCTGCCAGACTACCTCTCCCACATCCCCCGCCGCAAGGCCCTTGCTACCAGTAAGTGCTACCTCCTCTCCCTCCTAGTACTTTCCCCATTCCTTTTAGGGGTATGCTGCCCCCTAATTCAATGTTTTCCCCCTCTATTTCAGCGTGCGGGTGCTTGACAGTGATGACCATTGTCTAACCTGCCCTTCGCCCATCCCTATCTCCCCCCACCCTCTCTCCCCCCTTTCCTCCACCTCCCCCCTTCTAGCGTGTGTGGGCGCTCGAAAGTGACGACCATTGTCTAACCTGTCCTTCCCCCAATCGTATTCCCCCCCCCCCCCATCCCTCTCTCCCCCCTCCCCCTTCCAGCATGTGGGCGCTCGACGGTGACGACCATTGTCTAACCTGCCCTTCCCCCATCCCTCTCTGCCCCTTCCCCCTCTCTCCCCCCTTCCCCCCTTCCAGCGTGTAAGCGCTCCACGGTGACGACCATTGTCTAACCTGCCGTTCCCCCTTCCCTGTTCCCCCCCCTCTCTCCCCCCTTCTAGCGTGTGGGTACTCGAAAGTGACGACCGTTGTCTAACCTGCCCTTCCCCCAATCGTATCCCCCCCTCCCCCCTTCCAGCATGTGGGCGCTGGACGGTGACGACCATTGTCTAACCTGCCCTTCCCCCATCCCTATCTCCCCCCACCCTCTCTCCCCCCTTTCCTCCACCTCCCCCCTTCTAGCGTGTGTGGGCGCTCGAAAGTGACGACCATTGTCTAACCTGTCCTTCCCCCAATCGTATTCCCCCCCCCCCCCATCCCTCTCTCCCCCCTCCCCCCTTCCAGCGTGTGGGCGCCCGACGGTGACGACCATTGTCTAACCTGCCCTTCCCCCATCCCTCTCTCTCCCTTCCCCTCTCTCCCCCCTTCCCCCCTTCCAGCGTGTAAGCACTCCACGGTGACGACCATTGTCTAACCTGCCGTTCCCCCTTCCCTATTCCCCCCCCCTCTCTCCCCCCTCTCCCCCCCTCCCCCCTTCTAGCGTGTGGGTACTCGAAAGTGACGACCATTGTCTAACCTGCCCTTCCCCCAATCGTACCCCCCCCCCCCCTTCCATCATGTGGGCGCTCGATGGTGACGACCATTGTCTAACCTGCCCTTTCCCCATCCTTCTCCCCCCCCTCTCCCTCCCCTCCCTTCTTCCAGCGTGTGGGCGCCCGACAGTGACGACCATTGTCTAATCTGCCCTTCCCCCATCCCTCTCTCCCCCTTCCCCCTCTCTTCCCCTTTCCCCCCTTCCAGTATGTAAGCGCTCGACGGTGATGAGCATTGTCTAACCTGCCCTTCCCCCATCCCTATCTATCCCCCCCCCCTCTCCCCCCCTCTCCCCCCCTCTCCCCCCTTCCAGCATGTGGGTGCTCGATGGTGAGGAGCATTGTCTATCCTGCCATTCCCCCATCCCTATGCGCCCAACCCCCCCCCCCCCTCTCTTCCCCCCTCGCTCTTTCCAGCATGTGTGCTCTCGATGGTGACGACCATTGTCTAACCTGCCCTTCACCCATCCCTATCCTCCCCACCCCCCCGCAGCCCCCCCTCCCCTCCCTTCTCCCCCCCTCCTCTCGTCTTCCAGTGTGTGGGCGCTTGACGGTGATGACCATTGTCTAACTTGCCCTTCCCCCATCCCTATTTCCCCCACCCCCTCTCTCCCCCCACTTCCCCCCCCTCCCCCCTTGCAGCATGTGGGCATTCGACGATGACGACCGTTGTCTAACCTGCCCTTTTCCCATCCCTATCCTCTCCTCCCCCCGCCTCCTCCCGTCTTCCAGCGTGTGGGCGCTCGACGGTGACACCATTGTCTAACCTGCCCTTCCCTCAATCCTATCCTCCCCCCCCATCCCCCCCCCTCTCTCCCCCCCCTCCCCTCTTCCAGCGTGCGGGCGCACGTCGGTGACGATCCGGTCGCAGTACCTAGGGCCATTCGACCTGACCAACAACATCTTCAACATGACCTTCTACAACGGCTGTGCCTACAACGTCACCAGCCCACTACGCGTGTGGCAGTGTTTCAACTTCGGCAACGTGTGGGACGGCTCCCTGGACAACCCCGAGCCCAACCCCACGCAGTACCAAATGGGCCCAATCTTTGGGCAATGCTCGGCAGGGTATTGCGAGATGTGGATGAATCGGGGGGCGTCTGGCAATGTGCAGATGTTCCCGGGGGAGACAGTGAACGTTTTGTACGCATGGACAGATGCCTTTCGCCCCTGCGCTCATGAGCTCCACTTCAGCAACGGCAACAGCTACTCTTTGACCAACACCACCGATTGTGTTGAAGCTGAATTGATCTAGTCACCCCATCAATGTCAATCCATGAGTGCACCACTTCTGCTTTCCATGAGTTGAACTCTTATGAGATGAGATACATTTGCTGTTCACTGCTGCTGCCTGCCCTCTGCTACTTAGGTTCCGATTTGCTTCTGGCTGTACTGCAATTAATATTGATTTTGGGCTGGGGCAGCAGACTGTCAGCAAAGGGGGGCTGTTGGTATAGTTCTTCTATTGTCTAGGAGGGGTAGGAGGGAAGTGGGGGAGGGGGAGAGGGGGGGGGAGGTGGGGGGTAGAAAGCAATGCAGAACATCGGTAGTGTTTTATTCTGGCATGTATATATTATGGTTGTTTATTTATCGAGGCTGATTCATTTAATGATTTACTGGCATTGGTTGGGTAGCAAATGGGATGGTGTTCAGAAGCATGCCACTGTTAGTGTTTATATATTTAGCTATATATGCACTATAGCCTAGCTGGGTGCAGACTGTAGAGAGTACAACACCGAGATAGAAACTATTTCTTGTACCTCCATTTCTCCTTTGATTCTCAGCTTCTAAGATGGTATCGAGCTAGGTTAGTTGCTAGCCTCCACGCTTCCGCTCTAGGTACTCCCCACCCACCTCCCTCCCTACCCTGCACTCCTAGACTAGGTTCGTTCCTGACCTTCTGCCCTAGCCTCCGCTCTAGTCCTCGCCTCCTCCTCGCGCTGCCCGCTGCTCCTAGCCCGCTGCTTGCCGCCCGCTGCCCGCTGCACGCACTGCCCGCCAGCTTGCCGCCAGTTCGCCGCCCGCAGCTCTCTTGCCCGCTCGAACTGCCTGCTGCCGCCCGCTGTCCACTCGCCGCCTGCCGCGCGCCAGCTTGCCGCTTGTCTGCACAGCCGCAGCCGCAGCCGTAGCCGTAGCTTGCCACAGCCACAGCCGCAGCCGCAGCCGCAGCTGTAGCAGTAGCTCGCCGGAGCCGCAGCTCGCCGCAGCCGTAGGTCGCCGCAGCCGCAGCCGCAGCTGTAGCTCACCGCACCCGCAGCCGCCGACATAGCTCGTCGCAGCTGCAACCGCAGCCGTAGCCACAGCCGCGACCGTAGCTCTCATCCCCCCCCCCTCTCCCCCTCGTTTGCTTGACCATAGCCACCTTTGCCGCCGCTCCTACCTGCATGACGACCTCGCCGGAGTTTGTTCTTCGTATGGAAGCCAAAGGACGTGCAGTCGGCTTCGCTCCGTGGCTTCTCGCTTCCCACCGCCAGCTGGTGAGCCAGTGTGTGGACGGCGAGCTGCTAGAGGCCCACATTACTGGTGAGCTGCCATCCCCCCCCTGCCCTGGGTCCCTTGCCTCCGATGCGACGTCGGCGCAGCGTGAGAAGTACGCCGCTGCCCGGACTGCCCATGCCATCTGGCGAGCTTGTAATGCTGCTGCGCTGCTGGCCATCACTCGGTGCCTGGCGGTCAACGAGCGCGCTCACTTTGGCTCGTAGGGGATGACGAAGGCCCTCTAGGATGCGGTCGTCACCCGCTACTCGTCCCCGACCTCCGCCACCCTCGGTCGCCTACTCCTCAAGTTCCTCTTCCCCGACTTGGCCTCCTTCTCCACAGTCGCGGATCTCGTCACCCACCTTTGTGACCTTGAGTTACGCTACCATGAGGCCTGCTCCGAGGACCACCTTGCCGCTCACCCCCTGCCCACCTTTGCCACCCTTTACTTCCTCACCACCCGCCTCCTTGTCCACCTCGCTCCTGCGCGTGACGCTCTCCTTGCACTGACCCCTACAGCCCTCACCATCGACCTCTTCTCCACTCACCTGACGAAGGTCGAGACCCGCCTCCGCGCCATCGCTGAGTCCATTGGCGTGGTGGCGGCTTCTATCTTTCAAGACGGCTCTCGGTCCCAAGTCCTTGTCTGTGGTGCCTCCGCCTCTGTCGCTGAGACAGCTGCGGCGGCCATTGCACCCGGCCACACTGCTTGGCGCTCGCGGCGCCCTAGTGGTCGTGGGACCTCGGCAGTGGCGGGAGGTGGGGGCACTAGTGAGGCACAGGGAGCTGGCAAAGGGGCGGGTACGGAGGTGGCGGGGGAGCAGCAGCAGCCGCAGTAGCAGCAGTAGCCGCAGCAGCCGCGATCGCAGCAGCCGCAGTCGCAGCAGCAGCGGCAGCTGCCATGGGGGCTAGTGGGCCCTCGGAGTGTTGGGCGTGGTGGGGGCCTTGGTGGTCGGGCCTCGGGCCAGTGGGGTTTAGGTGGCTCCAACTATCCTATTCTGTATAGTCTAGGCTCCTCTATCATATGTCGTCTAGGATCTTCTACTGTTTCCCCACCGACCCACTCTACGGCAGCTCTCTCCTTCACTCTAGACTCTTGCGCGCCTCACTACTTCTTCTACAATCACACTGCTCTCACACCGCTTCCCGCACCAGTACCGGTCTCCCTCGCAGACTCACCCGCCACAGTAATAGCCAGCAGCACCACGGCCCTCCCCTGCCCAGCTGTTCCGCCCGGCTCTGTTACCGGCTTGCATATCCTCACGTTCGCCAAGAACCTGGTTGGTTTTGGTCATATTCAGGACCTCAGTGCCACCACTACGTTTCCTGCCCACGAGAGGTATGCAGCCTGTATGGACGAATCCAAGCGACCTCGCGTCAGGTTTCTTCACACTGCGCATGGGGTTCCCCCGGGTAGCTGCGTCCACCCAGGTTGCCGCGTCCTGCTCCTGTCGCTCCCTCACCCACCCATCCGTCTTGTGGCACCACCGCTTAGGTCACCCTGCCCTCCTGCGTCTCCGATTTATGGCACAGCACGGCCTGGTCACTGGTCTCCCTGTGTCTCTCCCCACCCTCCCCACTTTGGTAGCACTCACGTGCACCTCCTGCGTCGAGGGCCAGCAGTGCGCCACCCCTCACTCCTCCATATTTCCTTGGCCCCGCAAGGAGCAAAACTGCTTGGTTGTAATAAACGACTTCTCGCATTTCACCATGGTGTTCTTGTTAGAGCGGAAGGCCGATGTGCCTGACACTCTTCTCATGCCGCTCTGCATCGTCCGCACCCAGCGCGCACTGCCCATGCTTCGACTTCACTTTGACCATGGTGGCGAGCTTGCCTCAGGCTGCCTTGGAGTGTTCTGCTATGCGGAGGGCATCACACTGACGTTCACCCTACCGAACTTGCCACAGTATAATAAGGTTGCTGAGAAACGCATCGGCCTGGTCATGGAGGTGGCTCGCACCTCCATGGTCCAAGCCGGTGCTACCCATTTTCTGTGGACATTCGCGGTGCGGTACGCGACTCACAAGCTTAACGTGTGGTCTCGCTCCTCGCGACCACAGGTTTCGCCGAGGGGGACTCAGCCGAAATTTCTTGGTTGGGAAGGGGGGAATTTACTATGGGGGATTGCATGTGTGACAATGTACGGGTGGACTTGCACAACACTTTTCCGCATCAGGGTGGCTACACCCCACCACTCATACTGGTCCTAAAACATGTTATTTTTCCTCATAAGGGTGAAAATAAATCACCACATTGTAATTTATGGGTCCTAGCCTAACTCCACATTTGCAATAAGGGTTATAAGGCTATTTTTCATTAGTGATACTCAAAGGTCTGGTGCTTGTTGGTGCATGTCAACCTACTGCCTATGTGCTGTGGATGAGGCAACATGAGCAAACCTGCATAGGGTATTGCATGAAGCGGTTTGATGGTTGTATGGTTGAGTGTTTTGTGCGTTTTGTATGCCGAGGGTGATCTCATGAAGATCTTATGGCGAGCTCAAAAAGATCTTAGGCAAGTCTTATGATAGGCTTATAGGAGGCTCATGGAAGCCTCACAAGAGCTTTGCCGGAGGCTCGCGGGAGCCTCACGGAAGCTTTATGGGACCTTCTGAAGATTCTTACGGGACCCTCACAAGAGTCTTACAGGGCCCTCACGGGACCCTCACGGTCTTAGAAGGTAAGAATGAAAGATAAGAAGTGAGAATACAAGGAGGATATACCCAGGGGGGTTGTACTCTCTAAAGCATATCCCTATCTAGGCCACTATAACATATACAAATATGTTTGGAACACCCCCTAGGCTAGATATGGGGCAATGCCTAGCAAGAGACATACAGCTTAGGGCAGCACTACTAGTCCAACCTCTGAGGCAAGGGTCTGAAGACCAGTCTGCAAGAGTACAAACTAAACAAGAACAAACCAGGGTGTTACTACTCGTCCAACCACTGGAAAAGAAGCCACAAGGCCAGTCAGGATAATATATTAAGAGTAGTACACAATCAGGGCCCTAGCAAGTAAGGTGCTACAAGAACTAGACCCAGCTGTACACAGTGACGCGGATGATCTTTCGGCGCAATCGCCTTCGTAAAGATATTAGCTGTGTTGGCACCGGAGGCCAAGTGTACTATGTGGGCGTGGCGACGCTGCTGTAGCTCGCGCAGGAGGAAGTTGCGCAGCTGGATATGCTTTGCCCTGCCCTTGAGTCTAGGCTCCTGACACAGGAGGATCATGGCCCTGTTATCAGCGTACATGACCGGGGCACAGCTAGGCCGCTCACCTAAGCTTGTGAGCAAGAAATTCAGCCAGCGGAGCTCCTGTGCCGCCATGGCACCAGCGTAGATCTCAGCCTCACAGCTAGAGTGGGCAATGGACGAAGAACGAGTGGGCCTCCATGAGACAGCACCTACACCAAGGCAAAAGCAGTTGCCCTGGGAGGACCTGAGAGTCTCGGCGTCGTCGGCCCAAGAAGCATCTGTATGCCCGGTAAGGACCACTGGTCTGCGTCCTCGTGCTCCATGGCAGCTATCAACTGAGAGGCCCAGGGTCCCGAGGTCGCCTCAGCGTAGGTGCGAGGGGTCAGGATGTCACGGGCATCTGGGTCACCCTCAGGGACTAGCAGCATGGAACAGAGATGCGGAGCAGCCCCAGACAGGAAAGCGAGCTCATATTGCTCATCTCTAAGATGTCACTGCCAAGGGCAGGAGCACCCCCGACGGATGGAGGGCAGGCATGGTCACAGACCAGAGCAGTAGCGTAGTCAAGGCGGCGGGTAGTGGCGAAGTCAATGACAGCAGCGACAAGAGCCGACAGACTCGAGACAGGAACAGACGGGTCGGTAACAAGAGAGGCGAGGACACGAGGGACAAGAGACAGGCAGGGGAGGCGGCGGCGGTAGTGGCGGGTGCAGAGGCGCAGGCGGGCGGTCGGGGGAAGGAAGACCAAGGAGGCGAAAGAGCGGACACCGGCGGCGACTG